CTAGATCTCCATGGTAACTGATGCTGCGGAGCTAGATCTCCATGGTTTTCGCAAACAGTCTGAAGCAGAAAGACTGAGTTGACAAAGAAAGTTGAAAACCACCTTCTGATACCTGACATGTCTGACTGGGGTTTTAGTTTTAGTCGAGCCGACTCACACAAAGAAACCCTGGATGAGTCAGACTCGCTTCATAGTTCTTGTTACCTAGCAATCCGCTATCTTGCCCCCTGCAGTTCCGTCCGTGGCCACCAGTGGGACCGGCGCCTGTCGGTGGAGGTCTGGGACTGGGACCGGACGTCCAGGAACGACTTCATGGGGGCGCTGTCCTTCGGCGTCAGCGAGATCTTCAGGCGTCCGATCAGCGGCTGGTTCAAGCTGCTGGCTCAGGACGAGGGCGAGTACTACAACATCCCGGTACCGGACCCAGACCTGCAGGTAGGAACCGGACCTGGGGGTAAAACTCAGTCCGTGTGAGGACGAGGAGTTACTCTGCCTCAAACCATCAGGCTTCTCTGATCTGCTCAGAACTTTGTGGTCATAAACCCGAACCCAGCCCACTTCCAGCAGGTTTGTTCTCACATTGAAATCTGAGGCTGTGAAAATATCTGAGGATAAAAAAAATATTTATTACTTTTAATGTGAAGTTCCTGGACACAGATATGAAAAGAACGTTATTTTGGAAGCTCTCATAGCTGATTGAGCAGCTGTGACAAGCTTTTTTATCATATTTTTCGTTGCCAACCGGCTGCCAGCTGCAGAGGGAACCGCTTCCTGTTCTAGTTATTTATTGGCAGCGCGTCTGGAGGTAAACTCCTCAGCAGCGCCTATAAATAAACATGAACTCTAACTTCCTGCCTGCGACTTTGGTCTTGAAGGCCAAATTTATTCCCTGTGGATCCAAACGGTTTCTGCAGTTTACGATGAGATGGTTCTGAGGTGAATCGGAGCAGAACTCTCTCCACAGGAGGAGAGCAGATCAAACCTTTGTTCTTCTTCTGTTAATGAACGTTTGTCCTCAGCAGCTGATAATTAGCTCCGAGTGATGAACCGCTCGCACCGAACCGGCTGCTCCTCTGTCCCAGGAACAAACCCGGAGATTGACGTCGGTGTTAAAGTCTAGTAATGAGATCATAAATCCGGCCCGGGTGTCCGGAGCCTCCAGCAGGGAGCAGGATTGTTCTGCCGGACTCTGGTTTGAATCCGGGCCAGAAGAGGCTCCACGTGTCGACTGGTCGGGTCACTGAGGACGGGTTCATGACGTTTACACCGAGTTTGATTCATCAAATACTTTCTGAGGTTAAAGTTTTTCAAAATTTCCAGTCGACCCACTTTCAGCAGGTTTTTTTCACCAGTTCGAGGCTGTTTGAAGGAAAACATCTGAAGAAATATTAAAGATTAAAACCTGATTAGTTTGATCTCAAATCTTCACATTTTTGGAACAAGTTCTCGTCCGTCGTCTCTGACAAGCCGGAAATGTTTTACACCATAAAATCTGAATATTTAAAGAGATGTTTCTTCAAACTTCGGCTTCATATAAGCAACACATTTTGAGATAATTATTCTATTATTAAATAAAAAGTTTTTTTATAATTTCTCACTTTCAGCAGGTTTTTAAGTTGAAATTTGAGACTGTTTTGTCTGATTTTGTAGCAAAAAATGTATAATTATAGATATTTTTTAATTTTTTAAGTGATAGATTAAAGACTTTCTGACGTAAAAATAAAATGTGAAAACTGCCAGTCGACAGGAAATGTTAAAGATAAAAACCTGATTCACTTCTTCTCAAATCATCTTTTTTGGAACAAAAAGATGCTCCATTGTCTCTGACTCACCTACAATTTTAAACACCTTAAGAACCAATATTTATAAATCTATTTCTTAAATTCTAACGTCATACATCAAATAGTTTTTGAGATATTTTTTTATTATTAAAAAAAGTATATATATATATTTTAATTCCTGGCTTTCAACATGTTTTGAAATTTAAATTTGAGGCTGTTTTGTCTGATTTTCTTAAATTTTTTATCGCATAAAATATATTGTTGTAAATATTTGTGAAATTTTAAACTGATATATTAAATACCTTCTGACATAAAAATGAAATTTGAAAACTTCCAGTCGACAGGAAATATTAAAGATAAAAACCTGATTCATTTCCTCTCAAATCATCTTTTTCTCTTTTGGAATAATTTCTGCTCCGTCGTCTCTGACTCGCCTGAAATTTATAAAATTTATATATTTGTAAAAATGAGTTTTGCTTCATATATCAAATAATTGTATTTATTATCATTTTATATACATATATTTTTTTTTTTTTTGGTGATTTGCCTCAAATTTTTATAGCATGAAATGTTCAATTATAGATATTTGTGAAGTTTTAAACTGATTTATTAAACTGTTTCTGAGATAATTTTTTTTTTTGAACTGCTTGTCGAGTTTTTTTTCTCACATTTAAATGTGAGTCTGTTTGAAGGACAACATGTGAGGAACTATTGAAGATCAAACCTGACATGTTCTCTGTTGTTTCTCATCCCGTCACTGATCCAGAACCGGTCGTATCGGACCTCGGATCAGGAACCTCTGATCGAGGCCGAGCTGAAACACACTGAGTGAATCTTTAGCTCCGTGTGTCTTCATGTGTTTCTTCATGTGTTTCTCTCCGACATCCCATAATGATCCTCCAGGAGCCCCAGCCAGACGGCGCCGCCCCCTCCATGCCCCAGGCTGTCCCCGCCCCGCTGTCCGAGGCCTTCCCGGTGGCGCTGAGCCCGGTGCCGGTGCCGAGCTGCCCGCCCATCCACAGCCCCAGCAAGGTCAAAGTGGGACTCCACGACTTCAACTTCCTCATGGTTCTGGGGAAAGGCAGCTTCGGGAAGGTACAGTGGGCCAACGGTACCGAATGGAACGGGTCGGGTCGAGAGCGCTCCCTGAGCTTCAGCTGGCAGTTTATACAGCAGAACGAGTCTTTAACACAAGTCAGAGCGTTTCTGGGAGCTTCTGAGTCTCTGTGGATAGATTTCAGCTTTAAGTCACTTTGGACCCGTTTTAAGCCACATCGGACTGTTCTGAGTCATTTTAGGCACGTTTTAAAGCATGTTAGACAGTTTTATCTCATTCTGGTAACAACTCGGTGCATTTTGGGCAATTCTAGATCCTTCTGGACACGTTTTGAATATTTAAAAAAACAGAGTCATTCTGGGCACGTTTTAAAGCATTTTAAGCAACTTTTACTCATTTTAGACGTTTCAAAGCAATTTGGGCAGTTTTGAGTCATTTAGGGCGATTCTATGCCATTTTAGACTATTTTGACGTAAGTCTTTACTGAAGTTTCAAAGCATTTCTGACTTTTTTATTCTTTTTTTTTTTAATCAATGTTTAAGTCATTTTGCACGTGTTGAGTCATTTCAGACGTTTGAAAGCATTTTAAACCGCTCTAAGTCATTTTAGACAAGCTTCAAGTCAGCTTCAAGTCAAGTATTCACATATATCAGACCATTTTGATCTCATTTTGGACAAGTTTTAGGTAATTCTGGGCAATTATACGTATTTTTGGACAGTTTTTG